GTCACCTATCCCCAAACTGGGAGGAGCATTACACACTTACGCGTTAACAAGACATGTTTCGCAGTGGAATCACAACAACCTATTTGTCTCTCACTCTTTGAAGCAGCTAGCCACAGATGTCACCAGGTGGTGGTTGTGGCTTTTCCCTTACCCTAAACCCTAAACCCTATCACTTTGCCCCTGAGCCCCAAACCCTAAACCCTATCCCTTAGCCATCTCGTCGAGACGGTACTCAGGCAGTAAAGACAAAAGCCCCTTCCTGAAGGAACACATCACCTTGCGGCCCACCTGTGGCAAAATGGAACATAATGGCTTAGGGACATGGAGATAGACCATCCAATTCTTAGATTATTTCTGCTTACTGTCTCATTGTTGAATATGTTGAATATGTTTCCAATGCGTATACTGAACTCGAATCATTATCATGAAATTATTGTTTTCAATAGTCTCCCAGTAAGGAATTCGGTTAAGGATGGCTGGAGAACCTCAAAGACTAAGGACGCAGTCTCGCAGCTCAAAGGCATGCCTGACCTTGCTCCTGGGCCTGAGATGATGGGGTTGGGTGGACCCCCCGGTTTAGGGTTTAGGGTTTAGGGATAATATTTATTGTATTAGGGTCCTCCTATATTCCTATTATACCACTATTGCCGGGTGGGTGGGGTCCTTCAAAATGAGGAGTTTCTTTTAAAAGCTTCTGGGGAGGATTTATCCCGATCCGCAAGACGATCCGAAAAATCGGACCGCCTGATGATCGCCAGGCTTCTTCAACAATAATGGGGCTATTGCGGGTGGGGGGTTCTGTTTTGGGATCCTTTAGGGGGGTTGGGCAGGGAGCTTATGAGGAATTACGGGGGGGCCATACAGGAAAGTCCAAGCAACTTTTGAGGCTCCCCTAGGCGGGCCCCTAGCATTTACATGAAATGTAGCCCGCCTTTGGTCCTAGGCCTTAGAGGGCCAACAGAAGTCCCCAAGTTGTTGCAAGTATGCAATGATCCTCGGCGTTTGGAAGCCCTATCGGTTTGACCTCCCTTGAGTGTACATGGGTAAGTTCAAGAAGGGAGCCCCCTACACATCCCAACTAGGTTTTAGGGTTTAGCGTAAACCTGCATAAAAGGTGTCTTTCTACAAAATACTGATATGAGATTTGCCAGTTTCGGGGCCAATATGCCCTTTAGGGCCGGCTGCCGTAGGGGACGCTGGGGCAACCTCGCCAACCACGGAAGGTCCTGTAACAACCCCTTGTTAGGGATCCTTTGTACTTTTTCGGCACGCTAGACTGCAGACATCGCTGACTTGCAATGGTGCGCTTTATACTTTATAATTTTGGGGGTATGAGATTCCTTATATTTATGTATATAAAAAGGGGCCTTTTTCTTTCCTGTGGTAATGTGGGCTATGTAGGTTCCCCTGTCATAAGTGAAGGTGTTTCCCAACAATTAGGTGTGTCATGGTGCGGGCCCCTATAATGAGAATGGGGGGGCATCAGGACTTACCAAGTAAGTCAATCATGAGGATAAATGGGCCTACTATGTAGGTCATAGGGGTTACTAACCTACTTCCTTAGTCTCCCTGACTCTCCAAGTATTGTATTTGGGGTCTATATTGGGGTCTCATTATGTAGGGAAGCTACCATGCTCTTCTAAGGGCAGAGTGCTATTTGGAGGCCCCTGGGTATCTACCCCCACAACCCCTTCTTTGAAAGCTTGGAAAGGTTTAATGGGCTTACTACATGAGTCATAGGGGTTATTAACCTACTTACGAAGTCTCCCTGACACTCCAAATACTAATGTGGACCCCAAATAGGGAACCTCGAGAAAATAGAAGGAATGTGGCTGGATTGGGGGTTTTAGGGATTAGGGTTTGGGGAGCTGGCCCTTGCAACAGTCCTTCTACTCCCGCGCTCCCCTTAGGCCTTGTAAGGGGATTCTAAGAACCCTTGAAGGGTACATATAGGGTATGTAGTTATAAGGATCCCAGGGTTCGGGGCCCATGCTAGGGGCCCGTGGTTCAACGTGAAATGAAGAGGGAGAACTGCACCCCCAAGAAATAGCAGAAAGCATGTTCACATCATCATCGTGAAATAAACGTTCCTCTTACGGTCCTTTAGGGTCCTAAATTACTGCCCGTGCTCTGCTGCAAAACCCACACGTAGAGGGCTCAGGGACGGGATGCGATGTGTGGGCGCGGAGGGATTTGAGCTTGAAAGGCCTATGTTTTTTTGGTGGTTGAACCTGGTAAGATAATATTCATTAGGGTTATATTAGGGTTATGTTGGGATAATGGAAAGAAAATGGAAACTACTATAATTCCATTACGAGCCCAGCCCGAACCCGAACCCGAACCCGAACCCGATCCCGAACCCGAACCCGAACCCGATCCCGACCCCGAGCCTGAGCCCGAGCCGGAGCCGGAGCCTGAGCCCGAACCCGAACCCGAGCCCGAGCCC